TACCCTGTCTGAAACCTAAAACAGTGAGGGAATGGTGGGGGGGGGGGGAGAAAGGTGCTCAGGTGCTAGGTAAAGCTTACTGATCAGCAGCCTAGACTCCACCACTGTTCCTTCTCTTTGGTCTGTCTAGAACAGTGACTATAAATTAGGAAAAACAAAATTATGCTGGCCTGTGGGGAATAACAAGGGAGGGGAGGCAGAGAGGAAAAGGGCATTGGGAAGCCCTGCTTCAAGACTGAAGACAAACAGAAATACCCAGACTGCTTAAGTGTCACAGACAGCCCCCACCCCAAGCTCCCTTCCAGATACCCCCATAAGTCACTTGGGCACACTCCCTCTTGGAATTGCAATTTCTGTCTTCGATCCCTAAGGAGCTGGCCCTGAAGAGAGGTGTGTTGGTTGTTATGTTTTGCCAGAGGGCCTCACCCCAGGTGCTCCTGTAAAGGTACCTTGGCCCTGATCCAGGATGAACACAGCTCCAGGTGTTCCAGCGCCAAGGTCAGACTGGGAACAGCCCCCCATTCCCACACCCTGGGATCCGAGCTTGCTTGCTTCTTGTCATCTTGAGGGATGACATCAAGTTGGGAGGGAGATACACCCCATCCCTGGGGTGGGGGGAAGGGACTCTGCTGGGACTCTCAAGTGGGGGGAGGGGAGAGGGAGCAGGGTTTAAACCCTCAGGCTCCCATGCAGGTCTGTTTCTGTCCCAGATGAGCTGCTATCAGAGTCCATTTCAGCGTTTTCATTATGGAGCCTCTCCAGTACTTTCTGACGAATCAGTCCCAGGCGCATCAAGAGGGACTGGTAGTCAAAGTGGCCCCGCTTCTCTCCAAAAGGGTCCTGTGGGGGAAAGGAGACAAGGGGATGATAGATTTAAGTCTGGCAGCTCAGCCTGGTGAGAGCAGCCTTGGGCCCGTATGAATGAAATGCAAATTGATCTTCTGAGTCATGGGACAGAAGACAGCACAGCCCAGGCAGTCCCAAACAGTTCTGACTGCTATGGCACATTACTGCCCCAAAGAGGTCTAGCCTGGGCTGACATTAAAATGTGTTTGCATTCTTCAAAAGAAAGAAAATATGTACAAAGTGGCATGGCAGACATTTTACAAGATGTGGATGTTCCCCTTGGGGGATTTTACATGGCCTTCTGTGGGGCTTGTGGATAGCTAGGAAAGAGCAATTCAACACCAGGACTGTAGCCAGGCACCACTGGCTTACGCCTGTAATCGTAGCTACTCAGAAGGCAGAGATCAGAAGGATCCAGGTTTGAAGCCAGCCCAGAAAAATAGTTCTAGAGATCCTACCTCAAAAAAACCCATCACAAAAAAGGGTTGTAGGAGTGGCTCAAGGTTTAGGCCCTGAGTTCAAACCCCGGTACTTGCCAAAAAAAAAAGTCCAGGACTACAACCTTAAGTGTCCTGCTTCAACTAACCTCTAAAAACCAAAGAAAAGAATCATCATTCTTCAGTCCCTATACTCAAAAAGGACACTCTGCTTTTCTAAGGTCACAGGCGGGTCTAGAACACAAGAGTTTGTCTTGCAGATAAGCAACTGTAGACATTCCTATCCAGGCTTTTGGGCATTTTTCCAGAGCCATCTACCCTTGATCTTAGTTCTCATTCTAGATCAAAGATCACAGAAAGATTTAACTGTTCTTAAGATATCAAAAAATCAAAAATAGCTATGGTTGGGGTGGAGGGTATTAAAAAAAAAGTTTGAAATGCAATTTACAGACTTTGGCAGCAAAGTAGTGTGGCTAGACTTCAAACAAGTGGAGAGCTGTTTGTTTGGCAGTCACAAAAAGCTACACAATTCACAGTATTTCCTTCTTTCTGTTTGCTCCTCTCACAAAAACCCATTCCACACTTTTTCTTTTGCAGTATCAGGGACTGACCCCAGGGCCCTGCGCGTTCTAGACATGCACTCTACCTCTGATCTACAGCCCCCAATTCTGTCGGGGGTGCCAGTCACAGTCACTGTGACTGCAGCCCACCATTTTCACTCATGAGGCTTATAGTCCCCAAAGGCTGAGTCTCACCCTTATTCAATTTTCCAAATATTCCTTCTCTCATCCTTGACTCAATTTTGCCACCCCTTCCCCAGATACTATCCCTTCCAAAACCATCCCTCAGCACAAGTTTTTCCTTCACAGACTGAACACTGGTAACGCTGCTGGATATTAGCAATGAGAATTCCTGATGAAGAACAGACTAGGTCAGGTGTCAACTATGTACTGTAAAAAAGGGTTCAGGCAACAAGTTAACCTCAAGTCTACCTTGTCCTTTGTTCTTAAGTTAGGCAGGTGACTAGGAAGTCCTTGAAAGGATAGGGTGGTTAATATTTATCAGCAGCGCTGGAGGAGACAAGACATCTATCCTACTGTTGGACAAGTAGAAATAGCCCAAGAGCTGGAGAAAACCTTATGAGATCTTAGTCAGGGGCTGGAGATATGGCTCAGGTACTCTACTGAGCACCTGCCTAGGAAGCATGAAACCAAGTTCATGCTTCCACCCCCCGACCCCCAACTATGATTTGGATAGTTAACTAAGATCTCTTAATTTTTTTTGGCAGTATTGGTGTTTGAACTCCAGGCTTTGAAAAAGTGCTCTATTGCTTGAGCCACACCTCCAGTCCATTTTGCTCTGGTTATTTTGGAGATGGGGCCTCCCCAACTATTTTCCCAGGCTGGTCTTGAACCTCAATTCTCCTGATCTCAGCTTCTCAACCACCAGTGCCCTGCTTACATTTTATTTTTTACTGGTACTGGTAATTGAGCCCAGAGTCTTGTGCATGCTAGGCAAGCCCTCCACCACTGAAGTAACACATTGCCAGCCCTTTTTTACTTTATTTTGATACAAGATTTTGCTAAGATACCCAAACTCTTGATCCTCCTGCCTCAGCCTCCAAAGTAGCTGGGATTACAGATATGTACCTCCATTGCCCCAGCCAAGTCATTCCATTTTCCTTTTTTGGGAGTACTAGAGTTTGAAATCAGGGTCTTCCACTTACTAGGCAAAGCACTTGAGCCATGATCAAAATCTGCATTTTATTGGAAGCAAGAACACAGTTCCCCAGTAGAGGCAGAGAACGAACAATTGTTTATCACCTTTGGAAGAGGAATCTCAACATATGATGGTGTACATACACTATTTCTCTAAGCCAACTTTCTCTGTGAGCCCCCAAAGTTAGAGATAGAATTCCAACATCTCTTATCAGCTCTAAGATTCTAAGAGGGCTGAATGTTCTTGGGTTGAAAACACTACTGACCAGGAAAGGAAGGAGTTCCGCCCTAAAGGGTAGGATTCAGACTAATCTACTGTATGCCATGAACTAGAAACCAACTCCATATGACTTCAAATCAGTCTCCTCTCTAGCCCTCAGTTCCTCAAATGACACAGGTTCCTTTTAGCTCTGACATTCTATGAGAGATTTGGAGTCACCCTTGGGAGGGGGATTTTACATGGTGTGCTGTGGGGCTTCTAGAATTAGCAGCAGAGATTGTATTACCTGCATAGTCTGGCCTTGAAGGTGCAGGCGATCTTTGCAGGCCACCTCATAGAAGTCATAATACTCCAGAAAGGACTTCTCCATCACTCCTCTGGAAGATAAACAGAGAAGTTAGCAACCTGCAAGCACAGGTCCCCCTTTTACTTTCTAATCTTAATGCCAAATTAAACAGTGAGAGTTCCTAAGCCCAGATTTGGTTTCCCACACAGATCTTTAAATGAGAAATGGAAAAAGGAATAGATAACTGACTACCACTCTGATTTCCCTTATAATTCAGCACTCACAAAAATGAGAGTGCCTTTAATATTTACCATCCAAATCCCAACCTCAACTCATGCCATGCTCAATCTCCACTGTTTCCATATGCCATCACTAATCTCAAATTCTACTTAATATCCTCTGTGAAGTTTAATTAACTCTGACTTACTTGGTACTTTCCAAGAACTGAGAAACTCTCTGAACTTCCTCTTGGGGCTGTACTTCCTGAGCCACACCTCCAGTCTATTTTGCTCTAGTTATTTTGGAGATGGGGGGGTCTTGTGAACTATTTGCTCAGGCTGGCCTCAAACTGTGAACCTTCAAATCTCAGCCTTCCAAGTAGCTGAGATTATAGGCAGGAGCCCGGCATCTGGCTTAATCTGCAGCTCTTTAAAAGCATGAATCAAGATGGAGATAGTGGTCCATGCCTGTAGTATCTCCGTACTTGGGAGACGGAAGCAGGTTTGAAGCCAGCGCAGGCTACATAGTGAGACCCTGTCTCAAAAAGACAAGAGCTGGGGGGCTGGGATGTAGCTCGGTGGTACAGCGCTTGCCTAGCATGCCTGAGGCCCTGGGTTTGATCCCAGCACCAGAAAAGAAAAAAGACAAAAAAAAAAAAACCTCTCCCCAAAAAGACAAGAGCTGGGAATGTAGTTCAGTGGCAGTGTGCTTACCTAGCTCTTACAAGGCCTAGGTTCCCACTAACAAACAAGGAAAAAAGTATGAACCACATCTTTCCTTCTTCTCTACCTCCCTCAACAATGAACTCTGCACCAAAGGCCCTCACAGATGCAAATTAAATCTCCAAAAGGAATGAATACCCAGTGGGTCCTCTTAACACATACCGTAGAGGTTCAGGGCAGGGACACTTTCCTTCCATCATGTCACAGACTGCAACTCTGATGGTCTCATGTCGGATACATTCGTTGTAGTTTTTGCTGTCTCCTGGATGTCTTTCCTGTAATTTGACAGATGCCATAATATCAAAAAAAACCCACAATTTAGGCAAAGAGAAAAGCTAATGTGAAGATACTTCAGGATTAGTACAGGGTATATGAGCCAAGCCATGAACTAAGAGGATCCCTTTCCCACTGAAGAACTAAATATTTATTTATTTGCGGTACTGGGGCTTGAACTCAGGGCCTTCACCTTGAGCCACTCCATCAGCACTTTTTTGTGATGGGTATTTTCAAGATAGGGTCTTGTGAAATATTTGCCTGGGTTGGCTTTGAACTTCAATCCTCCTGATCTCTGCCTCCTGAGTAGATAACATTACAGGTGTAAGCCACCAGCGCCCAGCTAAAAATTGTTCTGTTTTGTCTGTTTGTTTATTTATTTTTGGTGGTACTGAGGTTTGAACTCAGGGCCTCATGCTTGCTAGGCAAACACTCTACCACTTCAGCCACGTTTTCAGCCCCTGAAACCTTTATTTTTGAGACTCTTTACCTCCCCAGATATACTAACAGCCATCCTGCTACAGGTCATTTGACCTATAATCAGCAAACTAGATCCATCAAATTTTCCTAAGCTACAATAAAAAAAAAATTCCTGAACTGGCCAGGCATAGTGGCACATGCCTATAACCCCAGCACTTAGGAGGATGAGGCAGGAAAATGAAAAGTCCAAGGCCAGTTTAGGCTACAAATACCTGAACCTTAAGTGAAAGGTCTATCAGGCATAGATAAGGATTAAATGAGAAATAGCCACATATAAGGATAATAGTGGGCTGGGTGCAGTGGCTCGCATCTGTAATGTCAGCTATTCAGGAGGCAGAGATCAGGAATATCAAGGTTAGATGGAGATCTCCATCTCAACTAGTAAGCCAGGTAGTGGTGACACACTCCTGTAATTCCAAATAAACCTGGAGACAAAGGTAGAAGGACCACTGTCCAACATCAGCAAAAAAATGCCAGACCCTACTAGAAAAATAATCTAAAGCAAAAAAGGGTTGGAGGAGTGGCTCAAGTGGTAGACCACTTCTGAAACAAGTGGAGTTAAAATCTCAGTACCAAAGAACAAAAAGTGACAGTGAGACATAAAGGTATAAATAAAATTAGGAGTATCTGTGGAAAAACCTTTAGGCATTAGCCAGTAAAGGGTGCTTCCTGCCAGATGCTGGTGGCTCACACTTGCAATCCTAGTTTCTTGGGAGGCTGAGATTTGGAGGATTTCAGTTTGAGGCCAGCCTGGGCAAATAGTTCGACTGACCCCATCTCTAAAATAACCAGACCAAAATGGACTGGAGGAGTGGCTCAAGTGGCACAGTGCCACTTTGCAAATGTGAAGTTGAGTCCCACCAAAAACAATAAAAAAAGGGGGGGGGTGTGCTTCCTGGTTAACTCCTTCACATGTGTATAGGGTTCTACCATCACTGAACCAAACTGTAAGTCTATTAGGAAAACTTGAGATTTTTCAAAAGAGAAACTCCAAATTTAGGGGTGGGAGAGTGAGTAAGTGATAGAGGGCATGCCTAGCATCCCCGAGGCCCTGGGTTTTATCCCCAGCACATATACACACACAAAGTTAAAAATCAATTAAAGCTGTTTTAATCACTGAAATGAAATTATTTTCTTTTGAAAACATATTGGAACTTTTTCTGTAATCATGCCTAATTAAGAAAGAAACTTTGGAACAATGGCAGAACTTGGGCCCCAATGCAAATCCTGAGTCCTACACTGATCTGTGTCATTATGACAGTTAATTAGCATCCCTAAGCCACCATTATCTCACTTGCAAATGGGGGCAATATTTACCTCATACAGTTAGCATCAGAATTAAGTAAAAAATTATCATAGAAACCTGACAGCGTCCAGCATATAGCATACCCTAGGAAAATGTGTTTCCTCCATGTTCTCTTTGGCAGTGCTGACTATAGAGTATTCTTGTGTTAGCTAATGACCAGTTCCCTTGGCTCCACAGGTAACAGTACTTCGTAACTCCAGAATGGCTGGCTGGGCAGTAGACACCAGAGAGCACCTTATGGGGATGCAGCGGAATGTAGGCACATTCAAAAACTCACTGGCTGCCACCACCCCCAAAAGAGGAAATCATATTAATTTCCAAATGACTGCATGCACTACTTCCACTCTGTAGATTAATCCAAGTCTAATATTTAACAGCATTATTGTAATTCTTACAAATAAAGAACGTATGTGTCAGCTCTGCCCGGTAAAAAAAAGAAAAAGACTTATGCAGATCTCTTAAAGCCCCCAATGTTGCAGGCCCCAGAGTTGGGCCTACATGGTCTTACCTGTTCAAAGCCAGGCTCATTGTGGTAGGGGTTTTCAGTCATCAGAGACTGAATGGAGATGAGCACGGAAGAGATGCTCTGGGCTGGACTCCAGGCAGGGCCAGTCCATGTACTGCAAACACAGCAGAGTGAAGGGAAGACTGTGAGGCAGACAATGACCAGGGAATCCTGACAGCAGCAGCAGCAACAGCAACACTGTAAATGACTCACCAAAAGTTTCTCTTTCACTATCAATACTCTGGAAATTCCTAGTCTCTGCCTCACTCTCATAGAGCAGAAATCAGTCAACTGTCTAATGCTTATATCAAGTGGGACTGAAGAAAAGAAGGGAGAGCAAGCAAGCTAACTTTGAAGGGATTTTCTTTGGACTAGAAAAGAAATAGTGACTAGTGAAGGTTGTCATGTCAAAATGAAAGACATAAGTTAAGAAAATAACTCTAAAGGTTGTCTAAATGTTAACCTCTGTGGACCTCAAAGAGCTTATTTATTTACTTATGAGTGGTGACGTAGTGAAGGGAGAACAGTTGAGCAGAGGCACACAGGTGACTGAAGCCATCTGGTTAGAGGCCATGTGGTAGGGTTGATGATCAGGGATCCAACTCTGTATCAAGCCCACAAGGAGCAACTCTGAAGACCACACAACTCTGCCAAAGGACAGGAAGACAATATAGGGCACTTCTGGACTGTGGAAGGTCTGAAATACCAAAATTGTTCCCCTCTTTCATAAACCTCATCAAGTATTAAGGGGAGGCAGCTTGGATGTTAATGACATTTACTTTTAGCTCAACTGACAAGATGGCATCGGAGCTGGAAGCTGAACACAACCTGAGCTAGGGCTAGCTTATTCAAGTTAATTGGCTACTGCCCTTTTCTGCTACACTAGGGAAAGGCCCAAGTCAGCTGCACGCAATTTTAACTTCTTCAGAGGCTGCTATGGGCTTAACACTCCAAGACTTTACATGCTTGAGAATTCCAGTCAACAGGGTCAACACTCATTCCATTACTTTTGTCAGCAGCCCAATAAAGCTAGTAAGAGTAAGAACGTGGGAACTTTCTACTTTGAGATTTTTTTTTTGGTGGGATGGGAGTTTTAACTCAGGGCTTCAAACTTCCAAAGCAGGCATTGTGCTGCTTAAGTCACACGTCCAGTCCTTTTTGCTCTGGTTATTTTGGAGATGGAGTCTCATGAACTATTTGCCTGGGCTGGCCCTGGGTGGAGCTCCTCCTGATCTCAGCCTCCCAAGTAACTAGGATCACAGATATGAGCCACTGGTGCCCAACTTACTTTTGAGATTCTTTAGGGCAAAATTTCAATTTCAGATAGTTTCTCTTTTTCCACCCAATACACTTCTGCCACTTTCGCCCTACCACTTTCCTTTCCCTGTTCCTCCTATGAGCTGGTATCTACCCAAAATAGCTTTATATTAGCCTAATGAGGAAGAACCTATTACAAACACACTTTCGTTAACTAATTTCATAGAAAAGCAATGACTAAATTTCCTTACCACCATGGGAGATACACACTCTCTCACTAGCACAGACAATTATGTACCCTAATAATATAAAGGACTTCTTTATATTCTTTATAAGAGGTTCTTTATAAGAGAACCTCTTATAAAGGATTCTCTCATTGTCATAATCCTAACAGAACATGTTCCTGGATTAGAGTTAAAAAAAAAAAAAGAATCGTATCTCCACTATGCTTCAACTGCCTCCCTCCCAGCCCAAACCTGTAAATGAGTTGGACAAAAAGAAAGAAAACATGATCACCAGTTTGGGCAACTTTTTCAATCTTCAACCTGTACTTGAGCTCCACCCTAGGAAAATTTAGACAATAAAAAGACCAACCCTGGGGGTGGGGGAAGGGGGGAGAAATGACCCAAACACTGTATACACATATGAATAAAATAAAAAACAAATTAAAAAAAAAAAAAAAAAAGACCAACCTAAAACATGCTAGAAGACATTTCCATTCTGTGTTTTTAACACACAGGCAATTAAAACAGAATAAATGAGAACTCCATGAAGCAAAATCTCAGTAGCATCCAGGAAGATACACTTGAAATCTGTTTCATATTTGATGTCATTTGCAATCTCAGACATTTTCAATTATTAAAATTATCATAATCATTCTTACCACTACTGCCTCCAAAGGCACTCACTGAGGCTCAAATAAGACACCTAAAAGCCTCTCAACCTGTTTGGGAGCGAATAAGGCCCCAATGTCCTAAGGGAGTGGTTCTCAAACTGGAGTGTGCAGCACAAGCACTAGATAGCCTGTAAAAAAGACTGCTGGCCCCACCCTAGAGTTTCTGATACAGCAGGTCTGGGGTGGGGCCTTCAAATCTGTAGATGCTGCTGCGGCAGTTCGGGAACATTTTGAGAACTATTTCATAAAACATCCCTTGTATGTAATACTTCAACTTCCCTTCTTTTCATCTATAATGGTACAAGTCATATACCTTCCTGGAGAGAACTGAGAAAAGCCACTCAATCATATTCTATGTTGTGGTTCAGATGGGGCACTCTGGTTGATAAATGCTGGCCTAGAGTAATTATTTGCTAACAACCAACTTGGCCACTTAGAAGTCTCCTCTTACCCTAGAATACTCAAGCAGACTTTCCCATTGCGGTAGAAGTTGGGGTTGAACCTCACTGTGTTATTGCCTGTTGTCATCAGTTTGACCCGAGGTGGGTGGATGGGATAGTCAGGCGGACACCGAAACACGAACAGGAAGAAACCCCCTTCATAAGGAGTGTCAAATGGGCCTGTGATCAATGCGTGAATCTGTAAAATAAAACCCCATCTTAAAATTGTGGGGTGATACCCCACCCCAACCCCTCCTTGGCTTCCACCTGCTACCCCTTCCAGAAGCAGGGCCCAGTCTGAACAGCCTGTACTCACTCATATAAATAGGCTTGGAATTTTAAGAAATTCCATTACAATGGAGTAGCATCATACTCAGGTAAAGCCCAAGGTAAAACCCAAATGTCATCAAAATTGCCCTTAAGTGTCCCTAAAATCTCCTTAAAGCATGGTTTGTGTGTATCTCCCTGATGAGTGTTATTTACAACAAGTGGATAGAACCATCAATGTGTAAAATAGAACACACAACTGTAAAACATGGTCAGCATTTTGAACATTAAGCAATCAATGCATATTTTTACTGAGTTACGTATGTTTGGATTTGTCTAGGTTAAACATGCATATGATGCAACTCCACCCTACGCTTATATGGCACAAAGGGGAAATAAGATGAATGGAAAAGAGGAAAGAAAGGGACTGAAGGCCACAGCACTAGTTTAACAGTGCAGAGCTGAGGGTTACGGTAGATGCTTAGGGTGTTTGCTTGCTTCCTCCACAGAGGATCAAACCTACTGTGGAGAATGTGGATCAGGCAGCATCCAGCTATGTCAAAGATGCAAAAAATAAGTGGGAAAGCCCAGGGTCCCCATACGGCCTTAGAACTTCCCTCAACTCTATTGGTTTAAAAAAAAAAAACAAAACAGTATTCCTTCATACAAAATACTAAATTTTTTTCTCTACAAGCCATAATTATTGAACACAATTTCCCTTCTTAAAGGGAGGAAAACCTGAGCTGACTCAAGTTGTATTTCTTCTTCTTTGAAGGTTCGTAAGCACTTAAGTCTGCTCAGAATTTGAACAGCAAGAGGAAAAAATTGACCTTGCAATCCCAATCCTCAACCAACCTTGCCTGGTAGCATCTGAGGTTGTAGTCTAGTCTGCAGAGCAAACTCTACTGGTTTCAACATGGCATCAATTCTGGACCCCAGCGATTAGCATATTAACACTAGTACCTGACTAGGGACAAGATGTCCCAGGAAAAACATTTCCAACCATATATAAAGAATTAAAAATCATTTTAGAAGGAAATCTATTCCAAACAAAAAAGGACATACTAAAAATATGAAAGCTGAAGTTTTATTGTATGAAATTTGAAACTATTTGGAGTTTTCACTAAAAATAACACTAGATTTAGGAAACTGATTTCTTCCCAACATCGATTTCAGTGCAAATTCACACCCGAGGGTAGTAACAATAAGTAGCCTAGATACTTATGACATTATGTAGAAAGCTTTCTCTGTCTGTGGAGGACAAGAAAGGAATGGTCTTTGGGGTGAAACAGACATTTAAAATGAGCAGTAATAGGAGGCTTAATGCCCACTAACCACAAACTCTTCAGCCTAGTGGACCCTGTTCCCCAACCTTCCCCGTGTTGTAGCATCATGGTTAAAGTCAAAAGTGACAAGATGTGCAACAGACAGGGTGACTATACAATTTATCATCCTGAATGGAGCATTTTGAAAGGAAAAGAGTGGCCTATTAGTAGTTTAGTTGGGACAACAGGATGAACTGGGACTTTTCAAGTCAACCAGCATCACTGTGTACCCTTATAACAGACACTTGTTCTAGGCTCACTGTGTGACCTTGGGCAAATCACTTATTTTCTTGGGGTCTTGATTTCTTCATCTATATAACCAGGTGAGCTGAACAATCTCTTGTAGGCTCTTTCAACGTTTTGGACCCAGTTTCCCAATAATCCCCCATCCCCTCATCAAGTTACATACCTTAGTCATGTCAACAGTATCAGGTACAACGAACATTCCTGGAGGCGGCTCCTTATAAATGGACATGATATCCCTGTATAACACCAAGAGGAGGTGGGGGAAGGAGTGAGGGAGGAGGGAAAAGGGGAATCCTGAGTAGGACAGCTGTTACTACCTCAATGAGGCCAGGATTCGAGAAAGTGGTGCTTGGTACCACAAATGTTTGGACTGTCCTTGTTGGCTGAGAAACCTCAGCTGAGTACTTGTCAGGCAGGCAGAGAGCAAATTATTATCAAAAGGGCATTGTTTCCATAGGAGGAGGGGAGGGGGAGGGGAAAATAAGCAGAGATCCCCACGGCATCAGATGTCACCTGGAAAAGCCACATCCCATTTACTCTCGCTTCCTCCCACATGGGAAATTCATTCACTTCCCACTTCTGAGAGTCCCAGGTACTACACTGAATGGTAAGATTTTTTTCTTTTTTTTTTTAGTAACTGAGAAGGCATAATAACTAAAAAACTAGTTCCATAAACCATACAGTGGACCCTTGTTGATAAAGGGATTATATAAAGCCAGCAAGCCAGTAAGAAGCAAGACTATCATGGTCTTCTTGCCTAGGAAACTAACAGAGTAGAGATTTCTTCATGTTGGGGAGAGAGGAACCCTCTGAAATCCTCACATCTGGATGACAACATGTAGTGACTTCTATAGATGGAAGAATTTCTAGGTCTTATCTCACCAACTAAAATGGACAGTTGAGAGCAACAGCCTAAAGCAAAATATCCTACCATGAGGAGAAGTCTAAGGATTTGCTAAGGCGGTAGGGATATAAACAGGTGAGCCAGGAAGTACTGACCAAGCTCAAAGGTACATCCAGATTGGAAGAATGAAATAGCTGAAGGAGGAAAAGAGTTGTATGTTGAGTTTAAGTTAGAGGTGGCAATCTCTATAAAGTTGGCATCCTGTGTCAGGCACTGTGCCAGGGACTTTACACACATCACACTGCTTAACTTTTAATACAAACTTGAAAAGTAGGTAGACAGACATCTAAGGAACTTGGAAGGTGGGGGTTAATACATAGATGAGGATGTTTGTGATGGGGTTATGAGAAGAAGTCTGTATATCTGGAAACAGGTTTCAGAACTAACAGCTAAACACTATTACCTTTTCATACTCGACAGGTACTGTACTATACTAAACACTTTTGCAAAACATATTACCTATTAAATGATACTAAGATCAGTCACCCAAAAAATAAGCACAGAAAGGACTTAGGCCTTTGTTCCTATTTTGAATTGAGTATATTTGCTTCACAAAAGTAAACCAGATGATGGGGAGGGGTACGTGGAGAGCCAAGAAAGAACATCCTAAATGGGATATTACAATCCAGGGTGATTGGGGGGGCGGGGGGAGCCTGGGTTTCTGGAACAGATGTGAGAGTGGGACAGCTTTGGGATACCGTAAAATGGGTCCAAGGGAAGATCTGTTAAGTGGGGGAAACGATCCAGACCTGGGGAAGGAACCATGTGGTGGAGGTTTGAGGAAACGGAGGGTTAGAAAGGAAGGCTGGAGTCTGAGGCAGAAGCCAAGCAAGCACAGTAGGCTACAACCAGGGCTGGAAAGGAGACGAGGTGGGATCGATGGGTGGGGCCTGCGGGCAGCATCTAGGTAGGCTGGGGTGGGGAAGAGGGGCGGTGCAGAGGGCGGGAGGGGGTGTTACTGAAGTGCGAAAGGGTCGGGTTTCAGGCCAGAGGCATGGGGTGTGTGGGAGGGTGTCCGGAACCTGGACACAGGGTTCCGGGGAGGTCGCCGAGGGGCGGGGTCGAACCTGGGCCAGCTAGGAGGGGTTTGGAGTTTGTAGGGATAGGGGCGGGCAGCAGAAGGGACTTGGAAACCCCCCCACGCCCCGGGCTGGCAAATTTGGGCCCGGGAACCTGGCGGAGGGAGTGAGTTGTAGCGGAGAAGGGTGGGGGGCAGGGAAGGTCGAGCCCCAGGGCTCGGGGCTGGGGGAGGAAAAACCCCGGCTCACCGCTTGATCCGGAGTAGACACTGCGGCGCGGTTCGCTCGCCGTCCCAGTCGGAGCTGAGCGTAGGGTCCCAGTGGCTAAGCAGCGCGGCCCCGTGGGCAGCCGCCGAGGGCGGGAGCCCGGGCAGCGGAGCCAGGCCGCTCCCCGGCCCCCCGGCCCCGCCCGCCGCCGCTGCCGCCGCCGCCCACACATCCGGCAGGAAAGGCGGCCCGAACCCACCGCCGCCGCTGCTGCTAACGCCGACCACACCAGCAACGCCGCTCGCCCCGGGGCCTGTCGCCCCGGCACCCGCCGTCGCCGTCGCCGCCTCCTCAGTCGGACTCTCCGCCATCGCTGCTTCGCTTCCGGGACTGCTCAGCAGCACGTCCGCCGACCAGAGCGGCCGCTGCTCCCGCACCACCGAGAGCCGGGCCAGAGTGTCCCCGCCCTCCGCTTCCCTAGCCCGGGCGGCGCTGGCTCCGCCCACCCCCGCCCCGACCAGCGAGAGGCGCTCTGCAAGAGCGTCCACCCACGGTCCTCCAGGGCGGGGGGCGGGGGCGGGGGCTGGAGGGCTGGCTAGGGTTCTGGGCTTGCGCTGGCGCTGCGCTCTGCGGGGAGAGCTGAGCGCCCGCTTCCACCCAGTGTTTTGTCTTCAGGTGTTGACCTGGGAGAAGAAAGTTGAAAGGAGTGGGTGGAGCGAGCCATATCCTCCCACTTAAGGAGGATGACACTCGAACACGCCCCTAGGGTAGGACTGGAGATCCAGCCTCCCTGTAGGACCCTTAGGGCCCTTCCTGTCCCAAAGGTTCAGTGATTGATGCGGCCTCCAAGGACAGGCTACCATTGACCCCTGTCTGCGGCAGAAACTAGAGGGAGGAATGAAATGCCGCTTAGTTTCGGGTTTAGTGAAAGTATATACATATACTTGCATATGCAATTTATATGCAATATAATAAATTGTACATAAAATTTATATTGCATCAACTCTGAAAAAAATATATACGCAGGGCTGGTGAAGTGGCTCAAGTGGTAAGAGCACAGGCCTAGCAAGCATAAGGTCCTGAGTGTAAACCCCAGTGCCGCCAATATGTATTTAAATGTATACACACACACAGTGCTGGGGATTGAACCCAGGGGCAAGCACTACCACTGAGTTACATCTCCAGCTTCAGCATATACTTATGAAAGGCCAGGCACCTTTGCTAGGCACTGCCCTGGGGATAATGAAACAAGTAGGCTTGGTAAAGGGAAGAAAAATCAGGCCTGACTCAAGCTCCATACTTTCTGGTCCCACAATTCCTTGAATATACAGGAATGAAAGGACTGAATAAATCCAGAGAGGATTCCTTAGGACTTTTCTGAGATCTGTAAAATGAAAAATAATCCTATGGTCTTCCAAAAGAAACCAAAAACTTCATTTTTTTCCTAGCAAGAATATAGGTTCAGAATATTGTCTGGGAAGCAGTGGTGTCAGATGTGTTTCAGAATTTACAGTGAAGTGCAGCATAGGGAAACACCCAGTAAAAAACTTACAGATACGTTTACAGCAAAGTCTGAATATTCATACTAGGGTATATTTATGAATATTTATACTGAGACAAATAGCCTTACTGGATTATGTTTTACAGGTAGATTTGCATTTACTTACTTATTTATTTATTTAGCAGTGCTGGGGTTTGAATTCAGGGCCTACACCTTAGGCCATTCCACCTTCCCTTTTTGTGTTAGGTATTTTTGAGGTAGGGTCTTGTGAATTATTTGCCCAGGCTGGTTTCAAACCACAATCCTCCTGATTTCTGCCTCCCAAGTAGCTATGATTACAGGCATGAGCCACGGGTGCCCTGTTTATTTTAATTTTTTTTTTTTTTCTTTTTTAGGTGATACTGAGGTTTAAACTCAGGCCCTCATGCTGAGTTTACCACTTAAGTCGTTCCACTAGCCCAGATTTGTGTTTTTTAAAAAAGGCTGATGGGGCATGGTGGTGTATGTCTGTAATCCCAGCTAAACCTGGAAGCATAGGTAGAAGGATCATAGTCCTGAGGCTGGCCCTGGGCAGAAATTCAGGACCTTATCCTAAAAATAACTGGGGAAATGGCACAAGTGGTAGAGCAACCACCTAGCAAAGCCCTGGGTTCAAATGCCAGTTCCACTAAAAAAATATGTCTGGAACCAGGAGTAATATGCATGCCTGCAATCCTAGCACTCAGGAGGCTGAGGCAGGAGTATTGTGAATTCTAGGCCAGCCTGGGCTACGTGGGGAGACCCTGTCTCAAAAAGCCAAAACAATGGCTCATGTGACAGAGCACCTACCTTGCAAGTGTGAAGTAGCCTGAGTTCAAACTCCGGTCCCACCCAAAAAGAAAAAAAAAGTCTGGTTTTCAGAGCTTTGTGAATTTCCTATAATGGATTGTGAAGCTAAATAGTAATGGCCAGTATTTATTGAAAGCTAAAATTAAAAAATTTTTAGCTGCCATTTATCGAAAGCCAATGTCAGGCACTATATCTGTTTTGTGTGATTTATTCCTTTCACCATTCCTCTGATGTAAGTACTATTATTAGTGTGTTCTGATAGATAGAACAGAAGCATACCGAGGTTCAGTCACTTACACAGTGACACACTGAGAGCAAGTGGCAGAATGGGGCTACAGACTAAATCCATCTGACGCCAAAGAACGAGTTCAAACTACGCGACACTGTTACTGATTATATTTTACCTTGTAACTTTACTAATTATGGTCTTTTGATACCCGTTGCCTTGTCCCAACTTCTCCTAAGTGTGTATCTCTGTCTTAGCTCTAGACCATGTGTTATCAGTGAATCCAGCACAGGGCTTAGGTACTTAACATCAAGTGAAATGAATGAACACAGCATCTTATATAGATGTCATGTTTTATTGGTATAGTTTTTTTTTTAATATGGAATGATTCACGAATTTACATGTCATCTCACACGGAGGCCGTGCCAATCTTCCCTGCATCGTTCTGATTTTAGTATATGTGCTACAGAAGCAAGCAATGGTGTAGTGTTTTACCACTACAATAAAGATGGAAGGGCAGGTGGCGTGGCTAAAGGGGTAAAGTGCCTGCCTGCCTAGCAAGCACAAGGCCCTGAGTTCAAAAAAAAAAAAAGATGAAAGAATATCTATGAAAGGATACAAAAAAACCTGCTAACAGTGGTTCCTTCTGAATGGCTTGATTGCTAACAAGGTGGACCAAAGCAAATGCATTTATTTATTTATTTATTTATTTATTTATTTTTGAATGTACTGGGGTTTAAACTCAGGCCTCACACTTGCTAGACAGGAACTCTACCACTCCAGCCACTCCACTTGCCCCTTTCCTTCACTTTTAAAGGGTTTCAGAATTTTGCTGGGGTATTATTTAATTTAGTAATGTGGTCAAGGTCAACTTTCAAGGGAAACTCACACAAAGAAAAGCTATTTCACAGCTCCTCTGCAGAGGCCCAAAGATGACCTGTGGTGTGAGAGGGCAGGAGGTATACCTGTCTCCTCCTCACTATTGCACCTTATTTTCAGGTGCAAGTTCTGGCAGTGATAGAGCAACACTTTAGCTTCAGAGGAAAGAGGTGCAGGTTTTTATTTTATGATTATTATTTTTTTAAGTAGCAAAGTTTATTAAGTGAAAGAGGGACAGCTCTAGGGGAAGGAAGGGGTCCTGAGTGGGTTGTCCCGAGGTTCAGGTTTTTAATCTGCACCACACTCCTACCTTCCTTGGAACCCATTTCTGCATCCATACACGGACTCATGCCACCTGTCAAGGTTTTTCTGAGGATGAAGTATCACACGGTAAAGTAGCAAGTACTGGTGCCTCACTTGCCTGTCTCCCTTCTCTCGAGGCATTTGCTCATGATATTTTTTTCTTCTTGGAATACTCTTTCCCTCTACTCTACCAGAAGAAATCTTTGTAGTTTAACCTTTCTGAACCTCTGTTTCTCATCAGTAAAACTGGGAAAGAAATTGTAGCTACTAAAAAGATAAAAAATAATAATGAATGGGCATGGCTGGCCAGGGTAAATGTTCAATAAACTATTAACATTATTCTTACTCATCCTTCAAGGCTGGCTGAAACTTTACTCTCTGTGCCAAGCCTGAACACTTCCAGGGCTGTTTATTACTATTATTAATTAGTCAACTTTAATTACTCCCTCCTCTGGTTCTAATGGCCCATTATTCATACCTTTGTTATAGCACATACTACTTTTTATTTTAGTGGTTTTGTTATTCATCTGTCTAGCCATCAGCTAGGACATCCTCTAGGGCAGGAAGTGTGAGGCCCCTATCTAGAGCCTGACAATCAGTGCATGGTGCATAAATGCTGAACAGAATGAAATGAGGACACACATGGTAGCCAGTTGCCCTTCCCCTCGCTGTAGGGCTTTAAGATTGTACCTCCTCCGCTTCAGATTTTTCCAAGAGCTGAGCCACAAGTCAAGGCCTGAAAGACTACAGGGGATGGGAGCTGCTTAAAGGACCAGTTCACCACCCACTACAGGTACTCAGGGGAGAAGAGGGCCAGAGAGATGCTAGCACAGGCCAAGGTGGCAGTGCTTTGTCCAGTGCTCATGACTTTGCCAAGGCAACACTTGGCTGCTTTCCACTGGCAGGTTGGCAGGAGGGCAAGAGTACCTTCTGGAGCCACCCCATGTACTCTGGTGATAGCTGACAGCTCAGGGGTCTTTCCACAGTACTCCAGATCAAGTCTCCATTTCCCCCCCAGCACACAACTGCCCTGCATTGGGCCATCTTTTGGACCAACAAAAGTTGATAGCACCTTGTTCATGACATGTGTCCTCCCCAAAGGACAGGGGTTGGCAAGTGTCCCAGAGCTCAGGTCACTGCTGTGCCTCAACACTCTCAAATATATATATATACACCATGGGGCTGGGGATGTAGCTCAATGGTAAAGGGTACTTATCTGGCATATGTAGGGCCCTGATTTGATCCCCAGCACCAGGGCCCTCCTTCCCCTCGGCAGCCCAGACTTTTGTTTTGGCACGATGCCAGGAATAAATGAAACTTACTCCACCAGGACATAAATTCTGAACTAAAAGGAAAAAAATCAGAGCTTGGACTGCATAGCTTGAGGCTTCTAAGTAATAATAGCTATATAATAGCTATAATCATTTTATAATATATTTCATTAACTTTTTTTTTTGTGGTACTGAGGCTTGAACTCAGGGCCTACACTTTGAGCCACTCCACCAGCCTTTTTTTTTTTTTTTTTTTTTTTGTGGTAGGTTTTTTTGAGATAGGGTCTTGTAGACTGTTTGCCAGGGCTGGGTTCGAACCACAATCCTGATCAGCTAGTATAGGCATGAGCCACTGACATCCGGCACTCATTAACTCCTTTTTTTTTTTTTTGTGGCAGTACTGGGGTTTGAACTCACAGCCTTGAGCTCACTCAGCAGGTGCTCTACCACTTGAACCATGCCCCAGCCCTTTTAGCTTGTAACTATTCTTCAGATACGGTCTCAAGCTAGGGCAGGCCTTGAACTGCAACCTTCCTACCTCCATCTGTCAAGTAGCTAAAATTATAGGCACCATATTACCAAGCTCGGCCCTCATTAGATATCTCTTAATACAGCTTAATAAATATTCCATGGATCTATTTAATTCTGTGTATAATATATATATTACATCTCATTTTTATATGTATTAAGTATATCTCATTTTGTCACACCCACTACAAATTTTTCTTATCCTCATTGAAGAGATAAAGAAATGACCACTCAGAGGAGGTAACATCTTAGTGCATAACAGGCCTGGGATTTGTCTTTCTGACTCCCATTTGTTTTTGGCAGGGCCTCATGCTTGCTAAGCAGGTGCTCTTTCACTTGAGCCACTCTGCCAGTCCTCACACCTATGTTCTTCACCACCATGGTGAACTCATGGTGCTGGGCATTGGACCCAGAGCCTCACATGTGCTGGGCAACTGCTCTACCACTGAGCTACACCCCCTGCCCTATGCTGAACTCCTAAAACGGTGGTCCCCAATTGTGTTTTGGTTATTACCCTCTGAGAATATGATAAAAAATATAGACTTCTCCCAAGAACAAAACGTGTCTGTATAATACTTTGCATTAGACAAGATGGTCCCATCCGTGGGCCAATCCACATACCCTCACAGACCTGGATGAAGAACGTCAGTGATGAGGTTATGGGAGTAACTAGCAAGTTATGGGTAGAGAATCATCCTCCCTTGAACCTCACTCCCAGTCCTGCCGGGTTTGGTAAGCCCAGCAATTTCAAGGTTGTTTAGAGCTCTGGATGAAGGGAGATTCTTAGTCTAAAAGAGAAGCTTTCTGGCACTTCATGGGAAGGAAAAGGCAACCACCTTCCCCGGGGGGCTATTCCTTGATTACCTCCAGAGCTAGTGACCCAGCAAGGATGCTAGTGTGATATCCCAAAGGGTGATGGTGTTCCATTTGTGTAATGCCATTACCAGTTAATCCATAGCTCCCTTGGTGACAGAGTGGCTGCCAGTTCAACCTCAGCCCTGAGATTGCTGGGCTGTTTGAGGGAGTTATTAAAGGATAAGAAGGTGACAGCAGATTATGGTAGACCACTAGTTCTCAACTTGTTGTGATTTTGCACCCCATCCAGGGGACATCTGTCAATACCTGCAAATTTGTCAGTTTCAAATTTCATCCCAGTCACAACTGGGATGGTTGGTACCAAGTGGAGTAGAAGGGTGCTGTTGAACCTATACATCACATGGGAGAACCCCTGCCCCCAAAAAACTATTTGGCCCCAAACACGCCAAGATTGAGAAATCTTTTGTTAGAAGGACTGAGATTGTTGAATAAAACGTTAGGTGGGTTTGGTTTGTTGGCCTACTCCTCAACCTTGGGCAAGTAGCTCAGCTTGTGCAAACCTTAGATGAGTCGGCACAGTAAGAACACAGGTTCAGGGATTCGAATGCTGGCTTTATTAAACAGCTGTAACCTCAGGCAGGATGCCTTATCTCTCCGAGTTACCCCGTTTTTTTGACCCATAAAAATTTCTTCCGTAGGAATGTTGGACCTTAACCATGCAAAGTGTTTAGCACCATGCCTGACACACAGACCTCAAATGTCAGCCCATTATTACAACTCATGTTAACCTCCTTGCTTTCGCTTCTTGAACTTCTACAGTGTAAAGCTTCTATGGGCACTGCTTCTGTTCTGTAGATGTCATTATCTCCTGGAAGGCAAGAATCTTTTAGATTTGCCTCCCTCAAGGTCCCTAGGAAGTCCCTTAGTTCCCAAGTGCCTGCATGACTGTCTTTAAATTGTATGCAAATGGATGGTCTTTTTTTTTTTTTTTTTTTTTGGTGTTGGGGAAATGAACCCAGGACTTCAGGCATGCTAAGCACACACAAGCAAGCTACCCCGCTGAGCTACAATCCCAACTTTTCTGTGTATTTTAGATCTCTTTGCCAGTTGCCTTTAAGCTGAAAGGTATTCTTAACACTAATTAGGAATGTTTTTGATTTCACCATTTCTCAGAAGTTTTGCAGAAACCTGAGGTGTTAAGTTTTCACAAAATGGATTCCACTTACAAATTATTTCCTTTGAAACCATCCAATTTGCAATAGACCATGTCCCCAAGTACCTCTGTATTAATTTTATCTATGACTTGCTCCTACTTGGGTTCAAAAGAACAGCAATTAGCTAGGTGTCGTGGTGTGCACCTGTAGTTCCAGCTGCTTGGGAGGATGAGGCAGGAAAATCACTTGAGTCCAGTAATTTGAGGCTAGCCTGGGCAACATAGTAAGAATATACATATATATTCATGGATAAATAGCTATATTTGTAATATTTACATTTAATATCTGTATTATACTTACAGCAGCTGTCAATAAGCTGATAAGCTTAGTTGTATGCCACCTGGATTGTCAGTGCCACTTTAGCCAAGTGGCGATATCAGGAGGCCTGGACACAAACTTTCAAAGCATAAGGACAATGTCTACATGTGCATGAAGTTAGCAATTCGTCAGTTGGTACATCCTCCGAAAGCACTCTTTTTATCCCTGGCAAAGCTAAGATTATGAAGTCTCCAAGAGCAGGGAATGTACCTTCTCTTTTATTGAAGAACATTTTGACACTAATAAAAATGAGACTTCCAAATGGAGCTAGATATACACCAAAAGGACCTACCTCCTCCTTGAAAACTTGTGTTAACTTCTTGGAAATGCAGTTTCCCTATCTGTGCCATCTTAATTGTTACATGACCAAATGAACATTGCTAGGGCTGTAATTCAGTGGCAGAGCTCTTGCCTACCCTCAAAAGGCCCTGTATTCAACACCTATCCAACAACCTCACAAGGCCAAAGGACAGAGGGACAGGCATACAGGTTTAGAGAAATGTTTAATGGTAAAGCTTAGCATACTGCTGCACCAGGGATGGGGGGGAAGGAAAAAGAAAACTAATGGAACAAATGGCAGTTAGGTTTAGGATGGCCTGGGGGAAGAATTCCCAGTTCTGCCTCTTACTTGCTCTGTGACTTTGGACAAATAATTTTGCTTCCCTAAGCATGGGCCTCTCATGTACAAAGCAGGTTTAATGTTTGCTCTTTTTTCTTTTGTTCTTTTGCTGGGGCTGGCCTTGAACTGTGATCCTTCTGATCTCAGCTCCCAAGTAGCTAGGATTACAGGTATGAATCACTGGTGCCCAGCTTAATGATTGTTCTTATAATGCACAGGATTGTTGCAAATACACTTGGAAGGACTTGGTGTAAATTAAGCACCTCAAAAATGTTACATATTGCTTGGCAGCAGTGGCTCAGGCTTGTAATCCCAGCTACTGAGGCGGCAAGAGTAGCTTGCAGTTCAAAGCCAGCCCAGGCAAGCAGTTCACAAGACCCTATTTTTAAAATATCCAACTCAAAAAAAGGATGGTGGAGTGGCTTAAGCAGTAGAGCACCTGCCTAGCAAGTGTGAGGCCCTGAGTTCAAATCCCAGTACCACCAAAAGAAAAAAGTTACATATTAATAAACTTGAAGGGAACAAAGCACCAACCACTACTTCTCAGACAAATCCACATTCCTCCTGGAAGATGATGAATCCCCCTCTATGTTCACACAGTGCTGCTTCTCAGCCCTGGGGACTTCCAAATCATCAAAAGCTGACCCAAGTTCCTCCTCCCACTTTCCCACCAATGCCCTCCCAAGGCCAAAGGACAGAGGCACAGACATATGGGTTTAGAGAAACGTGTTTAATGGTAAAGCTTAGTCTACTCCAGCACTAGGAATGGCACGGAGTCGAAGCAGCAGGGACGGCTGGGTGACCTCCACGGAGACTCACATGGCAAAGAGGATGAGGAAGGCGACCATTAAACAGAAGAGCCCCATGGCTTCAGACAGGGCGAAGCCCAGAATGGCATAGGAGAAGAGCTGCTGCTTGAGAGACGGGTTCCTGCCAAGAACAGAGATCGATGCCAGCCCGGGGACAGAAAGGATGAGGGCAAGGCTAGAAGGTACAGGGGGGTAAGGTACAACTCGGAGAGGGCCTAGCCTGCATGTATCCTGGGGATTTGGAAGGGCAAGCAGAGTATCAACTTGGCAAGCTGAAGTGATCCAGGTTGGACACAAACTTAAATTCTAATTTAGAGGTCACTGGAGAAAACAGGAGGTAGATGAAATCAACCTGAAGGCTCCAAAGGGAGCACCTGCTGAGGCTTTGCCCAGATGGGATGAACTTACAGTTGGAGATGCTAGAGGCCACCCCAAATTTACCTGGCATAGCCAATGATCAAGCTGCCAAACACGGTTCCAATGCCGGCTCCTGATCCAGCCACACCGACTGTGGCGGCCCCAGCACCAATAAACTTGGCTGCTGTGTCAATGTCCCTAGAGACGGCACTGGTCTGGAACTCCCGTCGGGCCACCTGTAGTGGTGAGCTGCTGCAGGAAGGCTAGGAGAGTGAGGATATAGTGAGGCAGGAAGACAGGTGGCTGACTCCTCCCCCTCACCCCACCCACCTGAGCTCTGAAACAAATTGCCTGACAAACACAGAATACTCCGAATGCTGGGAGAATGTTAGAAATTAGTCCTAGAATCTGTTTTCAGACAGGGTTAGGGAAATTTTGTGGGTTAGGCAAACCTCCCTTGTGCAAGTTTCTCACCTACAATATTGCCTTTGAAGACTTAGAACTACAAGAACATAACAGATCCTCTAATTTCCCTCCTACTTAGTTAGGCCTAAAGGCAATTTAGTTAACCTCAGGAACCCCTGCCTAGGGAGATCCCTAAGAGGGGCCCTACTTCCTTACCTGTTTAGATGGGGCTTCTGGCCTACTCAGGAGGGAGGCAGACACAGGCCTGATTAGACCCCTGGTACAACAGCGGATCTGTAAAATCAGAAAAACATTTTCTCCAAGTCAAGCAAGAAAAACAAACACTATAAAAATCAAAGAGAAAAAGTTTATTGTATGTCAATGTATGTTTGCTTCTACCACATAGGCTTGTACCAGAAACAGCTGTCCTGAGAGCCTGGCATAGTTAGCAGTGGCAACCATCAAACCTTGGGAGGGTGAGCAGGTGGATAATGGATTTAAATATGCCTAGATTCACTTTCATGGACACAGCCTTAATTAGTTTCCCAGAATGGAAAACCCACACTAATATCATATTAGGAAGAGGAAGGGTTTGTACCCAGATCACCAAACAAAAAGGGGGAGGGGGTTTAGTAAAATAGTCTCGCTACTACACATCCTTCATGGAGTGGGCCAAGAGGCTTGGTATGACTCCTGGCACACCCATCTAAGGAGATAAGGAGAACCCTCTAAAACATGGATGGCTTTGTTTCTTTCTTTCTTTTTGAGACAGGGTCTCTCTATGTAGCCCAGGCTGGCCTCAAATCCTAAGCCTCTTGAGTGCTGGTATTATAGGTAAGACCATGCCCACTGATAACACGGCTTTCTTGAAATATTCTTTAGTGCAAGGATTCCTAAACTTGGCTGAACACTGGAATCACTGGGGAGTTCTAAAATGCATTCCACTCCATTCCCAGAGTCTGATGTAATTGGTCAACGGTGCAGCATGGACACGAGTCTTAATTGCTCTCCTGATGATTCTAAAGAGCAGCCAAGCTTGACAATCACTGGTTTCGTGGGTTGTCTAGCTATGGCCAAGCAGACTGAGGGTAAAGGTCAGATCTAGACTCTCTAAGGACACGCCAAAGCCAAGATAGCTTGGTTTACAAGCCCAAATACACAGGGGTTACCTGCATCAGATCATTCTACAGCCTCCCCAGTGAGCCAACATCACCAGGATGTAAAGATCCTTTCAGTGCATTCATTAAACATCGATGTAAACACCAGCCGCAGCTTACCAGAACTGGAGAAATGAGAAGTGCCCCGGTGGTCTGCATTTTTTTCAATCTGCAGAGACAAAAATAATATATAAATTCGATTAAAAAGAGAAAGAAAAGTAATAATAATTCCTCTGAGAACTTGGTTGTTTGCTTATAGTGGCGACCTTCTGTCGTCCCCTTCACCCCCGCGGTCCTCCCCGGACCCTCTCTTCCTTGCATCGCGCCCGGACAGAGGAGGGCATTAGAGGTCAGAGGGACAGCGTGGACTCCCGGGGCAACCACCTTCTGCACAGCAGGTGGGTCTGCAGAGGGAAAGCCACCGAGATCGGAAAGTCAAAGAAAAGAGGCTCAGGCCCCAGAAATGTTGCGAAAGGAGACGGTCTCCCGGGAAGACTGGAGGCAGATATTGGGCAGATGCCATGAAGGATCCTGCCCATGTTACACAGCTGTCCTTTACTCGCCTCAATATTGGCCGTTTATCGCTCATTACCGTTGGTAATTAATATTAATTAGCAAGGCTATAGACTCCCATCATCTCTCCCAGCCCCGGGGGCAATGCCCCTCCACACGACTCAGCTCTAAACTCTACCAGCCGCAGGTTCCTGGCCCCAAGTCACCTACACTCCCACTCCCCTGCAGCCCCTGCTCGGCCCACGGCGATCGCCCAGCTCAAGGTGACTGACTCACCTCTCAGCTTTAGCCCTTGGTCTCAGCGCGCAGTTCCCCCACCCACGTGTCCTGGGGTCCCTCCACTCTCATTGGCTGCAATTCACCCGCGTCTCCATTGGTTGACGTCATCAACTCCTCCTTTCTTATTGGTTCTTTACAGCTTCTTCCTTTCTCTCTCCACAACAGCTTCGTGGCAATTCCCGCCTCCATGCGGATAAAGGCGGGGCTTTCCTCCTAGATATGGTCTGCGATTGGGTGAGGCCTGAAATGCTCGACAGTAGAGTCGACCCGGCTGGGAGGTTCCATAGCCTTCTGCACAAAATGGCGACCAGGGTGCAAGTCGAAGAAAAGGCGTGGGATTGATGACCGGACGCCTGACGCAAGCAGACACATGACCTTGGTCCCTACCCTTCATTGGGTCTGGGGGCGCGTTGCATTTTGGGATTTGTAGTCCAGTTGGAGACACCCCTCCCCCCAAGGGCAACTGAGATCCCGCGAGATATTGCTACTGAGGCAGGGACGACGCCTTTGCAGCAATTCCCACTTCAGTGATTTGTGGAAACTTCTGCTTCCGCCACGGATAATAAAGGCCCATTGCAAAGTTTCCTATTGTGAGCACATCTTTGTGGGCTCTGCTGGCTTTCCGAAGTCATGGACTAGCAAACGGATGGTTTTTTTGTTTCGTCTTAAAATAATTATATTGTAAAAACAGCACTCCAAGGATCAAACAATACCCAAAAACAACGACAAAAAAAGAAAAACAGGTGAACACAAAGAAGTCGGGCGTGGTGGTTCGTGTCTGTAAATCCCAGCACCAAGGAGGCTGAGGTGGGAGGATGGCGAGTTCAAGCCCAGTCTAGGCTACGTAGTCTCAAAAAAAAAAAAAAAAAGCCCCAAGGATATTGGACAAGCAATTCACTGGAGAAATATGAATTACAGGAAAGAATGTTCAACCTGACTAGTCAAAGAAATACAAGTTTAAACGTATTTTCACACCTATCAAAAGAGCAAATTCTTTTTTATTAATGTCAGTGAGGTGCTTGCCCACACTGCTGGTGAGAGTATGAATTAGAAAACTTCCCTTGAAAGCAACTTGGCAATGTTTATTTTTATTTGAAAGGCGTCGAACAGGCCATCCTGTTTGACCCAGTAGTTCTTGAGTAATTGAGAACTTTTAAACCCTCCATTCTTTGACCCAGTGGTACTCCCTTCTAGGAATCTCTCCTGAAGAAATAACCAGAAATGCAAAGGTCCTGCTAAAAGGATGTGCATTGCAGAGTTTATTGATAACAAAAACAAGTAAACATTTCACAGATGATGAATGGTTAAACAAATTACATTGTCACTTTATGTGGTAAGCAAAAATAAAGGGTTTTTGTTTTTGGTGGGGCTGGGGTTTGAACTCAGTTTGCACTTGCAAAGCAGGCGCTCTACCATTTGAGCCACACCTTCAATCCATTTTGCTCTGGTTATTTTGGAGGTGGGGAAGGTCCCACCAACTATTTGCCTGGGCTGACCTTGAACCGCAATCCTCCTCATCTCAGCCTCCCAAGAAGCTAGGATTGCATGGGACACTGAGGCTAGGAAGCAACACTTTATTGTGCCAACATATACTCAGTGGACTCATGTCCAAAGGCTGAGTCCAGAGAACAAAGGGATCTCACCTTAAATAACCTTGCAAACAGGTTACAGAGTCAAAAAAACTCACAAGGTTTAACCCATATATGGTTATATGCACTTTTATAGGCTACTTCACTCTAGTGCTAAGTGCTCTTCTACCCCCAGTGCTATGTGACCCTCTTCACATTTGGATTCTTTGTATTTTATCTCTCTGCTATGCCGTCCCTTCCCCCCTGCTACTTTATTAGAACACAGGCCTCTTTCTTTTCTGCCTCATCCCTGCTACATTATTCCCTCTTTGATGTTCAGACCTACCTAGGGATAAAGAGCATCATCTTGATTTAGGGGTTTATATTTCCATAGCATCATTACATGGGAGGCCATTTTTCTTTCTGTAGGGCTTCCATAATGGTCCTGACCTACTGCAGTACCAGGGGGACCAGGCAGGGTGACATCAGACACACTCCCAAGATTTAGACTCACCACTCCTATGAGGGTTTTGAATCCACCCAAGGCAGAGAAACACCCACCAAACAGACTGTTTGGGTCCCATCCTTGCCACACCTGTATGGGTACATGTGCCATCTTTCTAATATTAGTGGCAATTTCTGTTACTGCTTGAGAACTATCTATCATCTATGTGGAGGTGACAATATGATTGAACTTGTCACATACCCCCCCTTCCTTCACTAAAAGATAATCCAAAGCCAGGTGATTTTGATATATAGTGGCTCGCATTTGGGTTTGTTCCTTGGCCAGTAGCTCCAGGGCAGAGGCAGTCTGGTTGGTAATAATTTCCATGACTGCCTGTAACCTAATAACTCTGTTGAGTATATAGATAGTAGTCCCCAGCTCTGATCCTGCGCCCAGGTGGCTGGTGCATAGGTCTCAATAATCCTCTGGGGAGGCCATTTGTCATCTCCCCACCTCAAGGTCCCCTTTTATACTAGGCCCCAGAGTTTCATAAAGGGGAACCCCCAGCTGTTCCCCTTGTAGATTGGGCAAGAGGAAGAACCCAGGCTGGAAAACTATAGTACAGCTTCCCTTCCAAGTCCTAGGGAGTTTGGTATAAACTCACTTCTCACATATCCAAAATGACCCATCTGATGCCCTCCACCACCCTGGGTCAATATTGGTGAAGTTATTCCAATATTTGCCAGTTTCAGGGATGCCTCAGAATGGGTTTGCCTCGCCTATAGTAGAACAATTTAATAGGCTGCCATTGGTTGGAGAATCATGACATTGGGAACTGTTTTCCGATGGGGGCAATGCCCAATACCATTAAGGCTCATCGGGCCACCAGGTTAGATTAGTCCCATTCCAAGAGAATGGGGTTCCCCCTCCCACTTTTTATACTGTGACCTAGTCATTTTGATACATTCTTCTCCAATTACCTCTAATATGAGAATCCACGTCTGAAGTTGGTCACTCTCTTGTCTAGTTATAGATTGATTCCACTATAAAAGCTGGTAAATAAAACTGGTCCCTTTCCAAGGCCATTCCTCACTCATGAGGGCATCTCCACATACCCAGCAGTTTGAGACATTTAGTCTCAAACTTTTTTTTGTGGACCTTTCTACCAGGTCCACAAAAAGATTTTTTTTGGGAAGTCCAATCCTTTGCTTAACTCATCTCTGATTTTATTATACAGTGGTCCAGCACTTTGATTGGCAGCTGGCCCCAGATGGGGTGAGAGTACCTTTGACACCTAGTGTGTTGTCTCTCTAACAAGTTGTTCCTGAGTATGTCCTGGACTCCTCCACCATCAGAGCTTCCCCAATATCCCAAATAAGTCCACCAGACCCATTATCCCTGCTTTCCATGACAAATTTAGCCTGCATTGTTCCCCTTACTCTGGGACTTCCAGAATCACCTACCAGCAACCTTGCAAACCTGAGGAGTATACGAGCCGATGTAACATCGACCTGTTGGTAGGTGTATGATACAAAGTATGGCTGTGCAGAGGTCCCAACAAAGGCTCTCTTATAACATTCAGTACATGGGGGAAACCTTACAAGGGCAAACCCAAAAGGTCCAAGTATGTAGAGGAAAGCCCCATATTCGAGCTTCCACCATGCATAGACTAGTCAGCTTCTGGAATGACTAGAGCAGGGCTGTTGTCTTGTTGTTCATGGTCCCCTGTTGTTTCCTGGGAAGCAGAGTCCTGCTGGGGAGGGGCACTGATGTTCTGGAGGGTGATCTTACACAGTGAAGCTGGACTGGGGATACACTCCACTCTAGAGAAGCTGTCTTGACTCAGCTGTAGTGGATCCAATGAGCTATCTCTGCTACTTTAACTGCCGTAGGGGTAGACAAAATAACAACAAAAGGGCCTCTCCAATGAAGCTTTAATGGTTGGACATTCCATTCTTTTCCCAGATGGCATCCCCTGGCCTGTAAGGTGTATGGGAGTTGTCAGACTGACAGGAAGTTTCTCCGGGATCCAGTCATTGATCTTTGAGAGAGTCAACCCAAGGGCCTGCATCTGCTGCCTCAAGGTAAAGTCACTTATTTCCTTAAGGTCCCCCCTTATTCCCTTGATTAAGGGGGGATGGGCATCCATAAAGGACTTCAAAGGGTGAGAGCCCTGTCCACAGATGGGTCTCCTGACACAGTTTTCCTAACTGTAATTTTAGGGTCCAATTAATTTGTTCCACTTTTCCTGAACTCTGTTGGCGGTAGGCCATATGCAACTTCCAGGTGATTCCTAGGTCCTTAGCTATCAGCTGTACCACCTCTGCCACAAAGGCTGGCCCATTATCTGACTCAGTAGACACAGGTATTCCAAACCAAGGGATGATTTTCTTTAACAGACATCTGGTTACCTCCCAGGCCTTTTCAGTCCATGTGGGGAAGGCTTCCACCCATCCTGAGAAGGTACAGACAAACACCAACAGATATTTGAATCCTCGAGCTCATGGCATTTCAGTGAAGTCCACAATCAAGTTTTCAAGATGAGTTCTACCAACGCTCTGCACCTGGGAAGGTTCTCTTGGCCCTTTCTAGGGGTTGTTTTTGGCACATAGGCTATATCTCTCACATACTGTCTTACTTATGCTGGAGAGCTTGGGGACATAAAAATGCTGGGCCAGGATAGTCTCAAGGGCTGTTCCACCCTGAATGAGTTCCTTCATGGAACTGCTTGACAAATGTAGAAGCCAGCGACTCAGGTACAGCATTGTGGCCACTGGCAAACTTCTACCACCCGTTCAGTAGAAAATTTCCTCCTCAGTCTTAAACCAAGCCTGTTCTTGTGGTGTGTACCATGGGTCCCATTCAGCTAAGGGACATGGGAACAAGGCAGCTGTCAGGACAGTCGGGGTTAGTTCCCTCATGAGGGCCACTTGTTTGGCCTCCTTGTCAGCTTTCCAGTTTCCCCAGGCAATTGTTGCATCTCCTTTCTGGTGCCCTTAGCAGTTTAGAGCTGCCACCTGTTGAAAGGCCCACACAGCATCTAACAGTTTGAGAATTTCCTGCCCATACTTGATACTTTTTCCTCCTAAGTTAATGAGTCCCCTCTCTTTATATAAGGCCCCATGGACAAGAATGGTTGTGAAAGGATATTTAGAGTCAGCATAGATGTTGACTTGTACTCTTGCAGTGAGCTGGAGTGCCCACATGAGGGCGACAAGTTCAGC